ATATATATTTTTTTTACATTTTACCTTATTTGTATATTTGTATAGTTGTATTTTGTATTTAATCTGTACCTATCTGTATTTATGTTATCTGTATGCACCAAGGGTCTGAGAGTAACGCAATTTCAATTCTCTGTGTGTATGTGCTGTACATGTGGAAGAATTGACAATAAAGCAGACTTGACTTGACTTGACTTGATATTATTGTTTATAAAGCACTGATTCTCTTCCAGTGACTCAGCATCAGTGTGGAAAAGTCTGAAAGAAATCACCAATTACAAGACACCATCCCCCAGCACTGTGGAGAATCAACAACTGGCAGACGATCTGAATGAGTTCTACTGCAGGTTTGAAAAAAAACATCCTACACCCACCCTGAACACCTCTCCACACAACCATTCACACAGTGTCTGTGTGTGTGAGTGTGTGTGTGTGTCTGTCTGTCTGTGTGTGCGTGCGTGAGTGTGTCTGTGTGTGTCTGTCTGTGTGTGCGTGCGTGAGTGTGTGTAAGAGAGAGAGATGCACAAGCTTGAGTTTCCCAACTCCACATGTGAGGTCTATACTGAAAGTGTTTGTGCGTGTAATAACAGCCGATCTCGAGAGCGTGAACACGCGGATGAAGCTCAGCGTCTCTGCCGTGGCTCAGTGTTTGTGTGTTGTGTTCAGATCCAGACGTTCGCTGTGGAGGCGCCCTGTTCAGCGGTGGACGAGATGACCAGCGGAGTGGCCATGGCACAAGTCCTGCAGAAAATGTATGTGAAGCACAAACTACAAATCACAAACTGAGTATGCTATATGTGTGTGTGTGTGTTTATCTATATGTATACAGTATACACACACACATTGAGTCATATATACATATGTATCACAATGTGATTGTTTGCTGGAAATAAGGTAGATATGACGCCAAAATGTTAGATGATTGAAATTTCATCAAATTGAAATAATCACATTGTTTCAAAGCAGCTTGACAGTAATTACCAGGAAGATAACAGTGCTAATGCTGTAAAATTCATCAGTTGTGAAACAAACTCTATTTCAGCTGTAAATCAGCTCTACAGAAGACAATAGAGTTATTATTCTTTCCCAACTCCACATGTGAGGTCTATACTGAAAGTGTTTGTGCGTGTAATAACAGCCGATCTCGAGAGCGTGAACACGCGGATGAAGCTCAGCGTCTCTGCCGTGGCTCAGTGTTTGTGTGTTGTGTTCAGATCCAGACGTTCGCTGTGGAGGCGCCCTGTTCAGCGGTGGACGAGATGACCAGCGGAGTGGCCATGGCACAAGTCCTGCAGAAAATGTATGTGAAGCACAAACTACAAATCACAAACTGAGTATGCTATATGTGTGTGTGTGTGTTTATCTATATGTATACAGTATACACACACACATTGAGTCATATATACATATGTATCACAATGTGATTGTTTGCTGGAAATAAGGTAGATATGACGCCAAAATGTTAGATGATTGAAATTTCATCAAATTGAAATAATCACATTGTTTCAAAGCAGCTTGACAGTAATTACCAGGAAGATAACAGTGCTAATGCTGTAAAATTCATCAGTTGTGAAACAAACTCTATTTCAGCTGTAAATCAGCTCTACAGAAGACAATAGAGTTATTATTCAGATCAGGGTTTGTTCTCGTCTGATATCAGCGCCGTCAAATCAGTAGTGTTACTGAAAGTGTCCTGTAAAACACTGCATACTGTTTGAAATACGTATACATCATTCCTTATTAAAGCTACAGCAGCTGCGAGTGATTTTCTCAGTCATTTGTGGTTTGATGAACATGAACTAAGCTGCTGTTGCACATCAGATATTGCACTTGAGAGGTTGAAACGAGTTTAAACGAGCAGGTTTTAAGACGCATGTAAAGGATAATATTATTAGGGCTGGGTATCGTTCAAAACTTTTCGATACCAATACCTTGACTTCGATACGGTTCCTGAACGATACTTTTTTCGATACCAATTTTATGAAATCAAATTTAACAAGATTACATTATCTAAAAAAAAAAAAACTTGATGTTTATACAAACTCGAAGACTCGTCTCCTGAGCCACTGCACAAAGGAACAACGTGTAACCAACACAATAAATCAGTGCAAATAGTTTTAATAAAGCTGAAATAGTCTTCAGTTTACACATCTGTTAGGCTACATTTACATAAGTGCATGTTCGTTTTAAAACGCATAGCTCGGACAGAATCATGATTTCTCTGTATTTTCCACTGATTTACTGATGAGCATGAGCAGCTTGCAGCGCTGTCTGCTTGTGCTCTCTCTTCCGTGATCTGTGGCTTGTCGGAGAGAGTGGAAAGCCGGATTGAAACGCAGTGGAAACGCCAGTATGACGAGGATCGTTTCCATTTTAAAAGATAAACGCAGCAGTGTAAATGCAGCCTTACATCTAAGCGGGCTGGGGCTTAACGTGTGCGCCTCATCTCTGAGTGTAACCGCTGTAAGCTAGCAGCTGTGTTCGACTGTGCAGACCGATCGGTGTATTACAGCACCGCGAGAGCTGAAGAGAGCAGACTCTCGCGGATCAAACACTGATCGATCTGCTCTGCACCTCTTCTAGTCGAACACACCTAGTGCTGCAGGCTTATTGGCTCACTGATGCTGATGAGATTAACCCCTTAGGTATCGAAATTTGGTACCGAACGACGAGACGTTTTTCGATGGTATCGAGGCAATTCGGTCGGTGCCTAAAAAGAATCGTACTTGATACCCAGCCCTGAATGTCCACCTACAGCTGATGTTACTGTGATCTGTGTGTGATTAATAATGATGAGCATCTCTCTCTCTCTCTCTCTCTCGCTCTCTCTCTCTCGCGCTCTCTCTCTCGCTCTCTCTCTCTCGCGCTCTCTCTCTCGCTCTCTCTCTCTCGCGCTCTCTCTCTCGCTCTCTCTCTCTCGCGCTCTCTCTCTCGCTCTCTCTCTCTCGCGCTCTCTCTCTCGCTCTCTCTCTCTCGCGCTCTCTCTCTCGCTCTCTCTCTCTCTCTCTCCCTCTCTCTCTCTC